TTTCAGAGAATGTATTCTCTTAGTAACTTTTTATTGTCTTAATTCTTGAAGAGCGGTGCAAGTGGATTTTTGTGCAGATGAGACTGTCTACCATACACTGTCTATGCTTATCCAAATCATTAGGGATTGCCCTAAATGTTTATTTATGTTGGTCACAAGTTCTGAAGTGTGCACGGACTTAGAGATGCTTCTGGAAAGCATCTTTGGAGTTAGGTTTCCTCTGGAAAGAGTRGAGTTCATTCACAATGAAACCATTCCATGATCTGTAGCGCAGCTCAGCAAGTGGGGGCAGTCAGGAGAGACTTCAGAACTGAATTAGATGCTGAGAGAATTAGGCTGCTTCAGGACAATTCAGCACTGAGATCTGATGCAGATGCTCTGAAATACCTGAAACACATCAGCTGGAGGTGAATGTCTGGAAATAAAAGCTTGGGCAGAAATGACAGCTGAGCTAAGAGGCCAAACAGCACCAAATCACACTGCTGCAGACATGGCTACTTTGTCCTTTTCCAGCAGGAATTCAGCCCACAGTAATCTGTGGATTTTCGCCTCATTTGTTCTACCACAGGTTTATAGGATAATTCAGGTTGGAGGGGATCTGAGGAGCTCATCTGCTAACAAGTGACCACTGTGAGCAGACAATGTCCTTTTCTGGCTTCCTTTGAAGCCCTCAGTAATATCATCTGTGTTTCTGGTAGACTATGTGCTTCCAGTCACAGGCTAATTTTTATTTAGATAATGAAACCTTATGAATTTTTTGGAAAGTACCTCTGATTTCAGTCTCTTCTTGTTACTTCTCTCCCCTCTCCTTATCAGCAGATACAGAATTACTGTCATCCCTGACAGATGTCTCAGCTTGACCTCAGTGTTCCTCAGCAACAGTCACTTTGCCCCTGTCCCTAGTTTAAAATAGCCACACAAGAAAAGACTTTATGAACTTTAGGTGCAGCTGCTTATTTCCACTTTGGTGAAAGTGGAAGATGTTCCTCTGCACAGATTCTCTCTTCTGCAGAATGTTCCTCTTTGTCTATAATCTTGAACTCTTCCTCCTTGCAGCAGCTTCTTGATCACCCTTGGCTTTGGGAAGGGAACTAGAAATGCTTCACAGAGGAGGATCCACAAGATCTAAGTGAAACTGAAAAGGCTCACGAGGAAAAGGAAGTTTGAGAGCTGAGTCTGTGGAGAGAAACACTTAGTTAGCTGGCAAATATTTCAGTGCCAAGCTTGCTTTATTCTGCATGGCAATTTTAAAATACCACAGGGTGCCAGAAGATCTGGCTTTAGATTTGTGACTGCATGAGGTTTCTGGTTAAAAATCAACCGCTTTTCCTGCCCTATCTTCTATCAAAGGCCACCTTGCATCCCCAAAACATTCCTGAGACAAACCCATCAGAACAGAGCTGTCTCAAAATCTCTGAGTTTTGATGAAACAGGGAAACAATTTATTGAAAACAAATCAAACTGGCTCTCCAGAACCTTTCCTGCCCTTTCTGAGGGTGTAATTTCCTACTGTGAGCTCCTTGACTGCAGAGCACGTGTCTGGAGATTGAGGAAAGCGACTTCTGAGATCTACCACACGATGAAATCAGAAGATATGTTTTATGATCCCCGAATAAACTGCTCTTGGAACTCTACTGACCAAAKCCTTTTCTGTCACCACAAATCTGCACACTCTCCAGAGCCAGGGCACGGTGCTGGTAATGTCAGGACTGTGGATTTGATCCCTGTAGGGGCCATTCTTTTCAGGATTGGACTCAATGATCCTTCTGGGTCCCTTCTGACTCAGACTACCCCGTGGTTCTGTGCTGCTGTTGATCTTCCTTTGAATAGTTTATACTGACCTTTAAATTTGGGACAGGGTATTAGATTTAGCTATGTTTTTGCCAATAAGACCCTTTCCAGGGTAAAAAAAAAAAACAAAACCCAAACAACTGCTCGCCTTTTAAAGAATGAGTTCTATTCTGACCATTTGTGGTTTATTTCATTGTAGGTAGAAAAAAACTTCGACTATTTGAGTACCTCCACGAGTCTCTGTATGACCCAGCCATGGCAAACTGCATCCAGTGGGTGGACAAGCCGAATGGTGTCTTCCAGTTTGTCTCCAAAAACAAGGAGAAACTTGCAGAACTGTGGGGAGAAAGAAAGGGAAACCGCAAAATCATGACTTACCAGAAGATGGCCAGAGCTCTGAGGAATTATGGAAGAACAGGTGAAATAGTTAAAATCCGTAGGAAACTCACCTACCAGTTCAGTGCTGTTGTTCTAAAGAGACTCTCTCCATCTTATTTCTTAGGAAAAGAAACAGTTTGTCATCCCTACATCCAGTCCAGCCAGGAATACCAGTGTGCAGAGGACTGGACCAGTTACAATAATTACATGTACAACAATGGTTATGCATTGCAGCACCATCACAGCTAGACTTAGCTATGCTTTGTTATCCAGCAATGCTTTCCAACACAAATCTCTGCTCGGTGCATAGCTTTTCCTTCAAGGTATCCCACAAACACATCAAGAGAAATGTTTAGAAAGTTATATTGGCCCAGTTTTGCTCCTTTTCAAGTTACTGATATGCAGTCACTGCCTGTTGCAGCAATCTAGCAGCTGTAGAGCACATTSTATTCTCCGTTATGCTAATCAAAGGAATTCTAATCAAAGGAATTACTGCAGTTTCAAGAACAGGATCAAGGCTTTTGTCTGTTAGTGGACATCATTGTGGCAGCACTCACTGGAAGTTTTATGCATATCTCCAAGTAGAATTTAGCTGATGCTGTGCCAAGGTTGCKGCACTCTCTAAACCAGAAAGGGAAGAGATTTGCCCACTGCATGAAGCTGCTGTCTGCTTTTTTCACCAACGCTCTTTATAAAAGGACATTTTCTGAGGGAATGCCTGGCTGAATGACAGTCCACATGAGGGTGCATCTGTTGACCAAGTTGATAATCTTTAATCACTCAAATTAACACATCTCAGGACAGATCCTGACATGTGTATCAGGGTTGCCAGCTGCACATTTTACTGTTGGCAGTGGGTTCACTGGGCCCATGATAGAGTTAGGAAAGGATTGTGCTTTTCATCAAGTTTTGTACAGTTCTTCCCCCACTAATATGAGAATCTCCCCTTTTATCCAGCAATTCTGTGCTTACCTAACAAACAGCTTTGCCATTTATTTTAGGAGTTGTAACTTTATATGTATAAATAAAATTTCACTTCTCCAGCTCTTTTTCTAAATGGGAATATACCTTAAAGTCTCAGTGATTTTACGCTCTCTACCTCAGAGAGAGTAACTGAATTTAGGTACAAGGAGAGTAGTAGCCCCTTATGTCAGGATAATACTTACACATCTACTTTTTCTCATACTTCTGCTATCTGATCAACTTCTGTCATCATATGAGTTGTCTTTTGGGCTAAAATATTTCCATTCAACTATGTTCAATTCCAAGTTCTGCATTTTGCAGTATGTAGGCCTGGATATCAATAAAAACAAAATCAATTTCTGTGGAGAGGATTAAACTGTGGTCTCATATATTTGATGAAACTCATTGACTTTGATATTTGCCCCTTGCAAATTTGCATGGGGTTATGATTTTATGCAGCAGACACAATGCAACGCACTCTGCTTGAGCAAAATTAAAAGTTTAGAGTTCTTACTTTGGCAACATGAAAGATGTATGACCTTAGGAGCATGAAGCACGTTAAACAGCACTGAAAAGAGACCAAGGCTTTAAGTCGAGGGGATTGCACCTTGGTGGAGCGAGCTCTGCCTCTTTGGAACGGGTGATGGCACCAGTGGACAGCTTTTCACACCRGGGCTGTGGCACTTGCAGCCCTCCAGGTCATTTGTTCTCCCAATATCCCTGAAGTATTTTTCTATTCTTCTCCCCTCCCACGTTTATTTTTTTTTCATCTTCCTGCACAGCACTGCAGAAGCAACCCTGTGCCTTTGGAAATCCTGCCCTGGAAATCCTGCAGAAAGGATCATGACAASATGGCAACACAAACGCTACAAATGAAAGCAGATTTATTATCACAGTTCTGTGCTGGCTGCTCTGGACTATGGTCACTTTTATACCCGAAGCTCAGGGTGTTCTCCAAAATAAACCTGGCTCAGCCAACATGGAGAGCACTGGGTTCCCAATTCCCACCGTTTGTAAGCTGAGATCTTCTATCACATCACAGATCTCTACGTGTGGGTTTGCCCTTAATGCATTGCTTAGTGAATATAAAAAGAATGGAAAATGTTGCCAACAGTGGTTAGCTATTTTCCCCAAGAAACCGCTCTGTGGATTTTTGAAGCATCCTGAATGCCACATGTGAACAGAATTATGTATTCTTTTTTTTTTAATTTTTTTCTTTCTTTTTTTTTTTCCTTTCTTTTTTTTTTTTTTTTTTTTTTTTTTTTTTTTTTTTTTTTTTTTTTTTTTTTTTTTTTTTTGTGGGGGGAGGGTGTTAGTGAGAGCTGCCCCTTCATTCTTGACAACATCTAAACAGCCACAGTTAATTACCAAATTGATGATGACTGCAAACATTCACTGGTGTGTCAGGGTAACACTGCAGCTCGATCTGGATGTTCAGGCTATTTCCTGAATGTTCCATTCGTGGCAATTTTCCTAATTCCGTAGTTTCCAAACTTCCTTTCATGGAGATGGTCAAGGCAAAAGCCCACATTATCTCTAAACTGCAGGGACAGATTCCCACATCCATGACTAAGCTGAGGGCAGTGACACTGTGTGTTCCTGCTGCTGCCTGAATGAACAGATTTACTTGAGAAACTGGACAGAGTCTGGGATCAGAAACCAAAATTTTCATTTTATTTTATTTTTTTACAGTGGTCTTCAGCTTGGCTTTCACTCTATATTTCAGACTGAAAAATTTCCTGTCATATCCCATTAAACATGATTAAGGTCTCACATGTATATGCTGTAATATTCCATTAAACATCGTGATTAAGGTCTCACATGTATTCCAGAAGACATGGAAACTGAAAAGTGAAAGAGAAATCAAAAAAAAAAAAAAAAAAAAAAAAAAAAAAAAAAAAAAAAAAAAAAAAAAAAAAAAAAAAAGTGTGGAGAGAAATCCCTCGGTGACAGTGACAGCAGAGGGCGTTTGCCCAAAGGCTTCGTTTTCTTGTGTTTCTTAGGTCCGGCAGAGCTCCTGCAAGTGACCCTTCACATCTCTCCATTTCCACCTGTGTGAGGGCCTCTGCTGAAATCTCCCATTGTTTTAGATCTTTTTTTCACCCAAATTTTAGCTGCTGACATGCTGTGAATTTCATGTGGTGTAATTTGGAGCAAAAGCTGGCAGCAGTACCTTGGTTTATAAACAAAAAATGTGCATCGGCAGATCCTTATTATTATAAATGTGCCTATTATGATGTGCCTATTATTATAAATATAATAAATTATAAAATTATTATTATTATTATTATCATTATTATTATTATTATTATTATTATTATTATTGTTGTTGTTGTTGTTGCTGTTGTTGCTGTTGTTGCTGTTGTTTATTTATTTATATAATAATAATTTCATTATATCACCCTCACCTTCCCTGGTAGGTTTCTCTCTAAATTCCCATTATCCCCATGGTGTCTGCAGGGAGAGCAGGGCATGCAGGGGGCACAGTCAGATGGGCACGGATCAGCAGCAGGGCAGGAGAATCCCAGCACCCAGAAATGTCCTGCAGTCAGCAGTCAGTCCCTCCAGGTGCTGATCCAGAGTGCTGATGATTCTGAGGCATCAAAAGAAATCAGTGAAATAATTGAAAGGATCAAATTCACGCACTGAAAGTGCCCAAATGAGAAGGGAGAGGTGCAGCACGCCTGGAAGTAGCAAGGGCTTTTTGTGTAACTCAGCAGCTCATGTGAGATTTGAAATGTGGGATCACAGAATCATAGAATTGTTGGGAAATGACTCAAAAATTATTGAGTTCTACCATTAACCCAGCACTTCCAAATCCACCATGAAACCATGTCCCCAAGTGTCACATCCAACCATCTTTTAAACACCTCCAGAGATGGTGACTCAATCCCTTCCCTTGGCATCCCTGTCAGTGAATAAATGCTTCCTGATATCCACCCTAAACATTCCCTGGAACAACTTGAGGTCAGTTCTTGCACTTTTTTACCTGAGCAGAGCATTTTTTTTTTTTTTTTTTTTTCTTTTATTTCCTAGTGAGGGAATTTATATCTGATTATGACAGTGGGGAACTTCAAGCCAGACAGCTTTGAAGTTTAAAATCCATTTTAAAATACCTCTCTGCCAAGGCAATGCAGCCACCTTGTTAGGAAGTCACACATTGGACACTCAGTGTTGATAAAATAGATAATAAAGTGAATTACTGAGTAACCAGGCTGTATGATCAAGATTCCATCAAACTGCACACCGAGCATCAACTGAGGGGTGGAAAAGTGAATTCCTTACTTGACATTCCAGGAACCTGACATAACCTGAGCCAAGAGTTCAAGAATCTCAATGAAATAGAAAAGACAAGGCAGATGCTTGTTTGTCGTGATACCTCTATGTTTAATTAATATTAATGACAAAGTGGAATGTAGCAAATCATTAAGGTGCTATCTCCAAGCACAATTCGAGATTTTCTTTCAGAGGAAATGAAAACTCAGCAAATCTATTTAGAGTGCCAGCAGTGGGCAGTAGTCTGAGGATTTAAGTTGACTTTTCTGCCTCTTTGGGGCAGAAAAATGCAATTACAATTAGAAGACACAATTCTTGGCAGATTTGGCTTATCTCTCTAGTCATCCTGAGATCTAAGAAACACAGGTGATGGCTTAAAAACAATGAGATAGAACAATAATAATAACAATAATAGTGATAGTGATAGAAGAATTATGTGGTTCTTCTGTTATTTAACTTATAGTTAAAACTTAAAAGTTTTCTAGTTTTTAACCTTTATGTTTCAGTCATCACCCAGCAATGCTGAGGTTAACACACTTTTCAAAAGAAAAAGGTTAACACTCTTTTCAATAGCTGGCAGAGCTGAGATTGTTGGAAAATTATAGAAAAAGAAAATTTGAAGCGATGCAAAGTAGTGAAGAGAACTCCATCTCCTGCACAAGCATCAACAGGTTCATAATGAGAGAAACTCATCCACTGCTAGTGCTTTTTGACTTTCAGGGAGGGATGAAAGAATTGCTTCTTCAGGGTGTTGTTTGGCCTATGAGAAGCACTCTCTGATTTCTGTGCAAAAAAAAAAAAAAAGCCACTTCTTGCATAGCTCTGCTCTACAGAGCTGAGCTATGGGCCCAGCTTTAAATTCAAACCCCCGTTGTTACACCAGTATTTCTCCCTCCTTGTGTGAGTTCCTATTCCTTGTGGGTATCTCTGAGAAATCCACATTTCCTCTGGAATATGCATTCCATGAGTGCACTGCCAGAGGTCTAAGGGGCAGGATTTCTTTAGCTGGACAAAGCAAAGAAATGTTTTAGTGAAACAGCTCTGCAGGGTTTGGACTGTTGCTGGCTGCAAGTTGCTGGAAACAAAAATCTTCCTGCTTTCTGTACGGATTTCTCTCAGACACGGCACATTTTGATTTCCAGAGTGTGTCTGTCAGTTTGATTTCTGCTCATATTCTGGAGTCCTTGTGGGTGTAATTCAGCCCCTGGCCTGCCCCCTGGTATGGTGAGGACAGCAGCACACAATCAATGGCAGATTTTCTCCCATCAATCTTGTGCTGCAAGGGTCTGGTTCTCCTTCTGCAAAGGGCGAGAGGACAGTTCACACCATCTTCAGGGCAGCCAGGAGGGTGTCCCAGGCACTAATGGCTCCGGCAGCAGCTGTTCCAGGGTGCCCACATTAATCTTCCCCTCTGCTGAGATTCAGACTTTTGCCACCCTCTCCTTGGCTGAAGTCAAATATCCGTGAAACCCGACCCTCCAGCGTAGGTGTGAAAGGTGTTGCAACCGGCCATAAAGCTCTCCATCCATTCTACCTGCAAGAAAAAAAAATAACAGCCAGTTCGCTTGAAGAAATGACACCTTTAAAGATGCTTAAAATTACCTTAAGCTCTTACATTAATGATCTTTTAACGAGACTGGAAGGAAGAACCACTAATCTTGCACGAGGAAGGTGAATTTCTTAATTTTCAGTGGCAAAACTCTCTGATTCTTAAGATTTTTTTTGTGTTTCCAGGTACAGATGCTGGGTTTGGGTCAGAGAAATTGTTCATAAGCCTGAGAATTGCACCAGAATCTTTTGGAAGCAGAGGAGTCCTCATCCCAGGGTCACAGGCTGCCAAGGCCCTGGGTCTTCATTCTACTGGGTCATAGTTAATTTTTTCAACAGCAGCTGTTAAAAAATATTCAGAGGCCTGGAATGCAGCAGCACTTCCTGGGAAAGTAGATTAAAATTCAGTCCTACAGGGATTTCCATCTTTAAGTCTTAATTTTGTATGGTGTAAAACTCTTCCTAGACACAGAGGAGCCTAAATTGCTAAATAATGGCTAAATG